GTTATGGTGTTGGAGGAGAATATTGACAGTGCCATGGGCTGCCAAAAGAACCAATGGATCTGTGTTGAAAAAAGTACAGCCAGAGTGCTTGCTCCATGGAAGCCAGGATGGTCAGACTTCGTCTCTCATACTTGAGACATATTGTCAGAAAGGACCAGTCACTGGAGAAGGATATCATGTTTGATAAAGGTGAGGGTCAGAGAAAAAGAGGAAGACCCCCAGCGAGATGGACTGGCACAGTGGCAGCATCAAGGGGCTCAAGTGTAGTAACGATTGTGAGGTTGGCGCAGGCCTGGCAGTGTTTCGTTCTGTTGTGTATAAGGTTGCTATGAATCGGTGCCAACTCAATCGCACCTAACAACAATAACAACAATGTCTAAAATACAATCTATGACCCTTGGGGGTTACTTTGAAATTCTTCTGTACTGGAGCCATTGCTGGTGAATAAAGAATATGAAGCTTTCAGTTAATGTTAGTTATTGCTGTTATTGACGACATTGTTAATATCCCTGCAGCATCCCAGTAATGCTCAAGTTTTACTGCTTCTGAGTTTGTAGTTTTCATCAGTGCTCTCTGAGTACCACTACAGTTCTGCCTCCTGAACATAATATTTTCACATTCACTCTTCAGGAATATATGGCACTTGCTAAATCTTTTGGTCAGGCTGTATTCTTCGGGGTGGCAGTCTTTTCTACTCAGGAACCCCTTTCACAAGCCCATGTCTCCTCTGTTCATCTGTCATTCATGTTGTTCCTCTGGCCTGGGATGCCCTCAGTCCACTGGGGCAGAACACCAAGTGGTTTGGAATGAGACAAACTCTCCAGGACCATATGCAAATGAGTTATGCTCTCAGAGCCTCCATTTTTCCATCTGCAACACAGGTATAATGTTGGTAAATTGCCATCAAGACATCTCCAATTCATTGTGACCTTACATATGGCAGAACACAATGCTACCTGGTTCTGCGCTATCTTCAGGATTGTTGGTCTGTTTGAGCCCATTGTTGGACCCCAAAGGTGTCACTCGATTTCTCTGACCCTCTACTTTACCAAACATGCTGTCCTTGTCTAACAGTTGGTCTTTCCTGATAATGTGTCCAAACTAGGTAAGCTACAGTTTCTCCATCCTCCTTTCTAGGGACATTCTTATATTCGTTCTGACACTGATTTGTTGATTATTCTAGCAGTCTGACATGGTTGTTGCGAAGATCCAATGAAGTAACTAACGGGCACCAGAGCTTGTTGCCTAGCAAGAGTTCCACCAATGGTAGCAATTGTAGTTGTTGAAAAGTTCCAGACCCAATTCCACCATGGAACCGTAATCACCCCTTCTTACCTATACATTCATCTCTTTGTTCTTCCACCTTCAACTGCACCTCTGTGCAGTGGTTTATAATACTGAACTAGTCTTGTTCCTTGTGCATTTTCTCTCCCCGAATAGACTGCAAAGTGAACTGGGGCATGGATTGTGTCTTATGCCAACACAAGTGCCTACAGGAGCCAGACAAGGAGCAGAAAATAGGCTGGGTGTAAGGAAAACAGGGAGGAGAGAGGACCCGGGCCAGCTCGAGGGCACATGTAGCCCTAGCCAATTGTTGTCATGCGGGAATATGGGCTCAGCGCTGCCAGATCTCAGCTTTTTCAAAAGCAGCCAGAAATCCAGATTTTTATGTGAAATGTCCTGAATTTAGAAAGTTGGGCCAACATTGTTCAGGCCAAACAAAGCATGTTTGTGAGACCCCAGTTTGTGAAGGCTGTCTTGCTCAGACAGTTCTTACAAGTTTGTGCATAAGCTGCTTATTTGGAACTCTGGACTCATTTTTATAAAGAAAGAATGAAAGGCAGACAGGGGGTCCAGGCTAACCCTAGCAGGATAAGTTTTTACTAATACAAGACCTGAAGCTTAGGACTGCCCTAAGAGACCTAATCTCTATGTGAAACCATTTTCCTTCAGGGAAACACATTTAGAGTTCCAATTTATAATGTTCAGGATGCATATACCAGAACGTAAGCCCTTTCGTGACAACCTTTGTTTTGTTTACCACGTCTTCTTTGTGTCTAGAAGTGGCAATCAGTAAATGTTGGTTGAAGTGAAAATTACCTGTGTCTAGAACCGTCTGTCCATACTGTTCAGTCCTGTTTAGATTCTGGACATTTCACATAAAAATCTGGATTTCTGGCTGTATGGAAGGAAGCTAGCATTAGTTTGCTCACCACAGTATTCTCAACAGTTGATGGTAATTAGAGATCAATACAGGATCACTATGAGTTGAAACCAACTCAACCACACTTAGCAACAGCAAAATAATGATTAAGTAGGTAAATGACTGAAATCATCTACCCATCAAACACATATTGAGAACCTACAGTGTGGTAGATCTCCAGGATGCAGAACCAGATAACATCCCAGTCTCAAAGAATTTGGACATCTAGAAAGGATTGCATAAATGATTTCCTGGAACATTTCTAAAGCTCATCAGGGGTTACTCACTGTTCGCCTTCCCAGAAGAGGAGGGCATACATGGGATGACCAGGGACCTTTCAGCACCAGGCTTCTTCATTGATCTGAGTGTCCCTAAGGTTGAATTCATCCACAGGACTTGTCTATGAAGGACTGAACTGATTCTCTTCCAGCCTCATAACCAAATGAGGGCTGTCCTTTCTAGTGGGCACCTCGGGAGGTTGTGCCCTCCTTCTACTATAGTTACAACATTGCTGGACCCTTTCTCTGGCAAGCGCCCTCCGAGAGACTTAGTTGCTGCTTGAGGATATTTATTTCATTGCTTTAGAATCCTGCCTTGTTTTTGACCCCATCCAAAAAAGAAACAAACAAACAAAAACGGAAAAGGGTTATTCCTGTCACTTTAGATCCAAAACTTGATTCCAAATGACTTTGGGTTGCTTGCTTAAAATTCAGTTTATGATTTAAAAAAAAAAAACGAATTTATTGAGAGGTATAAGCCACAGGCTCTGGAGACAGGGCCTAAGAAGATGTCCCCAAATCTCTGTGTGCCACACCAGTTTTGTTGGAAGAAGTATTTACCCTTCCAACACGCCCATGCTAATTAAGGAGGTAAGTTCATTTGGATGTCTAGGTTCTGATGTTTGGCCTCAAAGGGATAGGGATGGAGAGCAAAGCATACCTAGTTTACATTTATATCCCCAGTATCTAGCACAATCTGATGCCCCTAATGGTTTACGTTTTATGGAGGGGAAGATTGGTCGAGCGTCTACTGCTTACCATCTTCCAGTGGCTGTAACAGGGACACGTCACACGCTACCTCTTCTGGTCTTCGCAACAACAACCTTGTGAAGTGGTCATAGTCATTAACTCCAAAAGAAACTGAAGCCCCAGGTTCAGTAACCTGCCCAGGGCCACACAAGCAATCAGTGGTTGAGAGAGTTCCTATGTTAACCCCTAAGCTATAAGCTACACTCATGAGAAGGGAATGGGTATTGTAAAAATCCAAGTACAGCAGAGACGATAAGACTAGAGCAATGAAGAGACTCCACTCCCTACTGCCATCACCAAACGGCCTGCAGTCAGCCTGCTCGTGACTGTTCAGCGTGCAGCCCATCCTTGGCCGTTTCTTTTCCCAGACCATCCACTGTTCCTTGCAGCCAAAGGATGTTAACTCATCCCTTTGCTTTTGAAGTCCTCTGATATTAGAAATGGCTACACAAGTGTGTGTGAGGTCTGGGGTCTGACTGAGTGGGGCACTTGTCAAGCCCTGAAGAGATTTTGGAGTTTAGGGGGACCTAATTCACTTCAGGAGTCCTGGTGTGGTGCTGTGGGTTAATACGTCGGACTGCAAAGTCATTTGAACTGCAAGTTCGGTGGTTCAAGCTCACCAGCTGCTCCTCAGAAACCCCATGCAGGGTCGCTATGGGTCAGAACCAACTTGACAGCACTTAACAACAACAACAACAACAACAATGCATCCAGAAGGAATTCTGATGGCGCAGTTGTTAAGTGCTTGTTTGCTAACCGAAAGACTGGTAATTTGAAGTCACCAGCCACTTTGTGGGAGAGAGTTGTGGCAGCCTGCTTCTCTAAAGGTTGACAGACTTGGACACGCCATAGAGCAGTCCTGGTCTGTCCTAAAGGGTTACTGTGACTCAGAATCTACTCAGCGGCATGAGTTTGGGTTTTGGGGATCAACCTAGATTTTGACCAGATTGGTGACAGTTAAAGGGAGCTCCCCCTACCACTGCCATAGTGACCCCATAGGACAGGCTGGCAATCTTGATGGAAGCAGACAGCCTCATCTTTCTCCTGCTGAGCAGCTGGTGGGATCAAAGCACAGACCTTTCGGTTAGCTGCCCAATGCTTAACACGTTGTGATAAGGACCCCAAAGGACCAGAGGGTCTGATCCCTGCAACCGTACTAAGTCCATTCATGATGTTAGGCAGATTGCTTTGTCTTCCTGGGCCTGTTTCCCCCTCTGCTTGAAGAGAGCAATTTCCAAGATCCACCCAGCTCTGGAGGAGGACGGGGAGAATGAGCCTTTCTCGAGTAGGTCAGGTGATACAGCAGCTCCCTCTGTGCTCACTGGGCATTTGTTCCCCCCAGGCTGGAGGAGAACTATGAGATCGCGGAAGGGGTCTGCATTCCTCGAAGTGCCCTCTACATGCATTACCTGGACTTCTGCGAGAAGAACGACACCCAGCCCGTCAATGCTGCCAGCTTCGGGAAGGTGAGTGCAGCCTGGCCATGCTGCCGTCTGCTTCCCCTCTGATTGATTTATGCACAGTGCTGAATCATTTGAAAACAGCTCACTTTTCCAGCTTAATGACCAAAGTAGATACTTAACTGCCGTAACCAAATTCAGACAATTCTTCTGAAACTTCCTATATGTAATTTACATAAAGTAACTTCTTTTTTTTTCCCCCTGGCAAGTACTGAACTCATAAGGACCTTATATGAATATCAGTGAGTGACCCTAAGACAGACAAACTGCTTGTGAAGTTTCACTAATGTCAAGGCCAGGGGAAAACTAGGAGGTGACTTGTATCATTAGGTTTGTGGTTTGGGGGTTCTCAGCTGGGAGTGCTACTATTTGTAATATCACTGCTGGCCTGACCCTTCCCTATCCAGCTG